CCGCGTCGCTGGCCAACTATTAGTTTTCCCCCCTAGTGTTCGTCCAGCAGGCCCATGTTGGGGGTTTCTCTCCCCCATCGACAGAGAAATCCTAGAATCGTGTCGCGGTCGTAGTCGGAATCGTGGTCGTAGTCATCGTCGTCGTTGTTGTGCGGCGGGTGCCGCGGAGAACTAATTGTTTCACCATACCATTGGTGGGACCCCAGTCCGGTCTAAAGGCGCCGAAACGATTTTGTTACCTCTGTTTGGGGGGGCGTCCAAAGACCTTTCGCGGTTACCCATGCCGCTACAGATCTCTCCCCAGGTGCGCTCCGAGCAGCTCTTCGAGGCGCGTCCAAGCCGTGGCGACGAGACCTCTCCAGGACGAGCAGCGCCATCGGCACCCCTTCCTGCCCGGAGGTCCGGTTGCCGGCGCCGAGCATGGCGGCGCCGAGCGCCTGCTGCGCCGCCCCGGCCGCGCGGCCGAGGGCCGCGAACTCTGCGGGCGTGCGCGCGGCGGCGAGCGCGGGGTCCAGCACGAGGGCGCCGCAGTACTCCGCCAGGGCCTCCGCGGCGCGGCCCTGGGCCTGGAGGGCGCTGCCGAGCAGGTAGCGCACGTGGGCGGCCGAGGGCTCCTGGGCGAGCGAGCCCCGCAGCAGCTCCTCTGGGGATGGCGCCAGCTATGGAGGCCTTCCGGCTCGGGTCGGCTGATCGCGCCAGATCGCCGATGCATCACCCATGCATCGGCGACGTGGGCCTGGAGAGCATGCGGCGCGATGCCGCGAGCTCATCTGCTCCGACCCTGTCTGGCAGGCCTAGTCCGTGCCCGTCGGTCGGAAGGACTGGGTGAAAACATGGAGTAGGAAGGCGGTGGAAAGATATTGCGTTCCCCCCCGCCACTCAGGAGGAGGGAAGAGGGAAAACTTGAACCAGGATAGATTGGGACCTGGGAATCCAAACATACATACATTCGACAACCGACGGGTATCCATTCCGATCGCCCCAAACATCGCGAGGAGGTCTGGCACATTCAGCGCGTAATGAAAAGGATTCGCGGTAAGGAGGCAAGGGCCTTGGAGGGCCATGTTCATGTTTTTCGAGCGAGGCTGGCCTACGGAAGTCGCTAAGAATGGGCCCAAGGGACAAGGATGCAAAGGTAGCCTTGGAAGAACTGCTCATCCTTGCTATTCGGGCTGACTGTACCGATACCGATGCACGCTGCTCGTTGCAAACAGGTACCTTAAGACGGAGCCAGGGCGAAGACAAAATCGGGTGAACACATATCGACAATCTGCGAGGTCTGGCGGCTCTGGAAGATGTCTCGAACGCCGCGGTCTTCCGGTCTTCCAAGAGCATTCCAGAATGCTCTGAGAGCGTTCGGGGAAATTCTGGAACGAATCGATCCTCGTTGTAGCCCCGGCCCGTCCGATCCATGTGGACTCCCAGAGCCCAATCTGCTTCAAGCGCTAAGCATGGGCCAAAGGGGCAAGGATGCAAGGGTAGCCTTGAAAAATTGCTACCCTTGATGAGCCTTCCCTTATGCGGCGTTTTGACATTGGGCGGAAGGGGGAGAAGGGGGGGGGGGTCTGGCTCTGGACCTCTGCTTGATGCGCCTGTTCGCAGCAGTGCGTCCTCTGAGGGACTACACCTGCCCGAAACCGGCGCCCGAAACAGCCAAGATCTGCTCCATGGGAGAGGGGGGGGGTGCTCGAGGGCCCGCGCCGATGGGCAAAACGATGCCGAAGAAAACGATCACTGGCTCTGCGCGGCGGCCCGCCCCCGCGGGCGCCTTCGCGCGGGCGCCTGGGCCTCGGCCTCGGCCTCGGCCTCGTCGTCGTCGTCGGGTTGCCGTTCCGAGACGGTGCGGTGACGGACCGCGCGGTGACCTCGAGCTCCCCCAAGAGACCTCACCGCACGGCCCGTCACCGCACGGTCTCGGGACCCTGGAGGCCCCCGTCCCCCGAGACGACCTCGGAGCACGACCCGAGTCCCAGGACCCTGCGGCGACCCCGCATCCCAACCCACTCACCGCACGGTGCGGTCACCGCCCCCTTTGGGGGCCCCCGGATGCTTGGCGCCCTCCGATCCTCCGCCCGGGACACGGGCGGGGGGGCGGCCGCCGCGGGCGGCACGCGGCGCGCCGCCCCCGCGGCCGCCGCGCCCTCCGCAGGGGGGTCCGCTGCCCGGGGCCTGGCCCGTCCTGGCTTGGCCCGGGAGCGGTGCATTGTGCCTCCCTGGCGGAGCCAGGAGGGCGTGCAGACATAGCTAGGCCAGGGCATGAACCTGAGCAGGTCTACATACACGTGTATATATATATATATATGGAGAGGACGAGAGGAAGACAGAGAGACAGAGGCAGAGAGAGAGAGAGAGAGACAGACAGACACCGATCCGGGGCCTTCGGTGAGCCAGGAGGGCGTGTATAATACATGCATACGTATACGTGTATCGGGGAAGCGTAAGACCCGGGTACGGGGGACTCGGAAATCCCCGACGAGGTCGTCAAACAAATAACGAGGCCGAGCCTGCATTTTGACGAGGCCTCCCGCTGCAGACATCCCACAAAACTCCTCCTCGTCAAAATCCGAATCGCGGTCGTCAAAAAACGATGGCGAACCCGAGTCCTGGCAAACCCGGGTCTTACGCTCCCCCGAGTGTAGGGAGAACAAGGTGAGAGAGAAAGAGAGAGAGAGAGAGAGACGGACAGAGAGACAGAAAGAGAGACAGAGAGACAGACAAACACACAGGCAAGCAAAGCAAACACACACACAAATACACACACACACACGCACACGCCCACACGCCCACACACCCACGCACCCACACACCCACTCACCCACACACCAACACACCCACACACCCACGCCTCCACATCCCAACACCTACACACGAGAGAGAGAGAGACACATATTGACAGGCGGACAGACGGACATATAGACGGACAGACGGACAGACAGACACAAAGACGCAGAGACGCAGAGACACAGAGACACAGAGACACAAAGACACGGAGACGCAGACGCACAGACACACAGACACGGAGACACGGAGGCACGGCACCACCAAGACATAGACAAAGAGACACGCAAACAGAGACACAGACACAGGCAGACAGACAGACAGACAGACAGACAGACAGAGAGACAGACAGACAGACAGACAGAGACAGACAGACAGAGACAGGCGGACAGACACAGACAGACACAGACAGACACAGACAGACACAGACAGACACAGACAGACAGACAGACACAGACAGACAGACACAGACAGACAGACAGACAGGGACAGACAGAGACAGACAGAGACAGACAGAGACAGACAGAGACAGACAGAGACAGACAGAGACAGACGGAGACAGACAGAGACAGACAGAGACAGGCAGAGACAGGCAGAGACAGGCAGACACAGACAGACACAGACAGACACAGACAGACACAGACAGACAGACAGACACAGACAGACAGACAGACAGAGACAGACAGACAGACAGACAGAGACAGACAGAGACAGACGGAGACAGACGGAGGCAGAAAGAGACAGACAGAGACAGACAGAGACAGACAGAGACAGACAGAGACAGACAGAGACAGACAGAGACAGACAGAGACAGACGGAGACAGACAGACAGACACAGACAGACACAGACAGACACAGACAGACACAGACAGACACAGACAGACAGACAGACACAGACAGACAGACACAGACAGACAGACAGACAGACAGACAGACAGAGACAGACAGAGACAGACGGAGACAGACGGAGGCAGAAAGAGACAGACAGAGACAGACAGAGACAGACAGAGACAGACAGAGACAGACAGAGACAGACAGAGACAGACAGAGACAGACAGGAGACAGACAGAGACAGACAGAGACAGGCAGAGACAGGCAGAGACAGGCAGACACAGACAGACACAGACAGACACAGACAGACACAGACAGACAGACAGACACAGACAGACAGACAGACAGACAGACAGACAGAGACAGACAGAGACAGACAGACACAGACAGACAGACAGACAGACAGAGACAGACAGAGACAGACAGAGACAGACAGAGACAGACAGAGACAGACAGAGACAGACAGAGACAGACAGAGACAGACAGAGACAGACAGAGACAGACAGACACAGACAGAGACAGACAGACACACACAGACACACAGACACACACACACACACAGACACACACACACACACACACACACACACACACACAGATACGGGGCCTGGGATGGGCCAGGCCTGGGGGCCAGGAAATCGGCACCAACACCAACAAAAAGGGGGGTGGTCTCCGCTGGTGGACGACGGTTCTAGATCCTGGCGCAGGCGACAACATTTCCGACATCCGAAACGCTCGAACAGCACCACCATAACCGAGATCGGCAGCATGCTCCCTCGGCGGAGGCAGCCGCCGATGATTGGGGGACAACGAAGCGGAAGCGATCGTTACCGCTGTCCCCCGGACCTCTCCCGGGTTGCGTTCAGCCCAGAATTTCAAGGCGACTTCAGCCGTGGCGACGAGGGCCTCCCAGAAGACCCAAAAAGGCCAAAGGGGGCGCGGGCTGCGGTATCGGCACCTTTGGCTCCGCTGAGACATGGGTGTCGGTGCCGATCTCTAAGCATCCAAACACCCTGCCACCCTGCTGGGTTTTCGGGACACAGCTCGGGTCTCCAGCCCTCCGGAGCGCCCCCGACGAGGCGCAGCTGCCGGGAAGCATCCCAAGGCGAGGCCTCCAAATATCCGTCGAAAACCTAGGGAAACTGGCTTTCGTTCCAAAATGTCCCGAGGCGAGAGAAACCTCCTCCAACATGGGCCGCCCGTTTGGGGTCCGAGTAAAAGGGGTCGGAGGATCGCGCCGCATCGCCGATGCATCGCCGATGCATCGGGGCCGTCGGTGCGGAAAAACCGGGCTCCACATCGAGACGCATCGGCGATGCATTATCGGTGCGGCTCGGTTCACTGACCACCTCTACTTCGACCCCACCTGGGAGGCGCAGAAAGATCCCGAAGCGAGACATCCTCTTTCAAGATCCCGCTTCAGCAAAGGTCTGGACCCCTCCCCAAGGACCGGCTCTTCATCCTCAGTCGTTGTTTGGCGGTCCCGGGGGACCAAGGAGGGGAGGGGCACTGGGGGCCGACAGCGGCCCCGAGCGGCCCGTCGTGATTTGCATCGCAAGTGCAAACACAACAAGGGACACGCACAACAACCTCTGGAGGTCCGCACTGATCTTGTGGATCGGCGCGGGACCCCCCTCCTCGGCGCGCGGCGCCGACCCACGAAATCCGCGCGAACCACCAGCAAAACTGTCTGTCTCGATGGGTCGTCTTCGGTGTGTGGCACGGCGCGCGGAGGCACGAGAATCTCAGACCGGTCGTCCTCAGGACGTGCGCTATAGCGCCCAGGCGTGCTCGCCCGCCGAGGCCCCCTCGAGGCGACGCCGGCGGGGCCGGCGAGGGGGGCGACGCAGGCTGCGCGCAGGCCGCGGAGCTGCACGGGGCCAGCGCACACCGGGCTACAGCGCACGCCCTTCGGATCACCGAGCTGCGCCTCCAGGAGATCCCCGTCGCCCTGGCCTCCAGGCAGGCGCCGCGCAGGCGCGCCCTCTCCGCCTCCGACCGCGGGGCGCTCGGGTCCGCGCCCTGGCTCGCCGCGGCCACGCGGTGCACCAGGTCGGGCCCGCGGAACAGCGGGCGCCCCAGGAGCTCGGGGTGGAGGGCGAAGGTCCGCTGCACGTGGAGGAGTGCCCCTGGGCTTCAGTCGGGCCTGTCCCCCATACAGGCCGATTTTGGACGAAAAGATTCAAATACTACAAACATTCACTCAAATATCAAAAAATTGTCAAACAAATCGTCCCAAGACTATATTTGGACTATTTTTGAATATTCCTCCTGTAGATGGACAGGCCCGACGAAACCCTGGGCGAAAGCAGCCTCTCGTGCGCGGCTGCAGGGGGCCGCGGGAGGGTTCTGTGGCAACTCGCGGGAGCCTCCCATGCCATCTTGTCGGTTTGTGCCGCCGGGACGCGGCCGGATCCCCAGAGCCCGCGTTTCAAGGGGCACCCGTTCGGCTCCTCGGAACCGCCGGTTCAACGGGCGCCCCCGAGAGGGCTCGACTGGACCAACGGGTTCAACGAGCACCCTGCAGGGTGCTCGGATCCCACTAGTTCAACGACAAGCCGTCCGACCACAAACCATGCTTCAGTGCGTCGCCCTCGCAGTCGCCGACGCCGTCGTCGTCGTTGTCACCGAGGCTCGAACTTGAGCCCTAGGAGGAGGAGGAGGAGGAAGAGGACGACGACGACGACGAGGACGACGACGACCGCGAGGCGGCGACGACGACGACGACGACGACGAGGGCGAAGGCGCGACGGCGACAGGCGGCAGCTGAAAGGCCTCCAAGAAGCCCGAGGAAGCCTCATGATACCTTCCGATGACGGCCCACGGAAGCCATAAGACGTACCCAGGAGGCAAAACAGAGGCTCTTGGACGTACCAGAAAGACCATTGGGAACGACCTACAAAAAGGGGGTCGGTGGATGTGGCGTAAGCCTGTTGAGTCGACGCTAAATCGTCGCGTTCTCATCGAATACCAAGCGCTATCGCACGCTAGAGATGCAATCGAAAAACGGAATCACACGGACATACAAGGCTCCAATGATGTGCTGCCGAAGGAGGGGGGAAATCCAAGCGCGCCAACCAGTGGCGAGGAGCAACGATAAGTGAAGACTGGCACATCGGGGAAACCTCGACCTGGAATCGCCGATGCATGGACGATGGATCGGCGATAGGCCCCCGATAGCGAAACTGGACCTTCTGGGCGGGGTGGGCTATCGGGCCCTTATCGGCGATCAGTCGGCGATTGGGCGTCGATGCATCCCAGCTGAGACGATCCACCCCCCATTACTGGTCCTGAAATGGGCCCGAACCGAAGGTCACTCCTGCGGAAGGGACACTCCTACGTGCAGCCGAGAAGAAGACCTCGGAGCGCAGGGCGGCGCCGACGAACGACGTGTGCGAGGTGGTGCTCCAGTGGATGCCCCGCTGGTGTACGGCGTGCGCGTCCAGGACACGGCCGCAGTGCCCCTCGTGGGACCCGCGCGTGTATACACTGAGGTATCTGGGCCACGTCCCAAACGCCCCAGGACAGCGTACACTGCACGACTTTCTGGCCAGCTCTCTGGGCGACAGATGTCGAAAAAGCTAGAGACGTTCTGTTTGGGCCGCCATTTGCCACCACGTGTCACTGCACCGACCTTGCTCACGTGCTGCAGCGGATATCTGCGTGGATTGCGGAAAACCCTGAAATGGCGAACGAGAAACGCAATGACTTTCACGTAGATGGATGTTTTAGTCTTGATTCCCGGCCAAAAACAATCCGGACGAAATTCACCTAGGAATCTGGAGCGCAACTCTCCAGGACACGCTGGGCTCATCCTGCTGTTTTCCGAACGAAATTTGCGCTGCGACGTTGGCGCCATGACAAGTGGTGGACAAACGCAACATTGTATAGTGGACGTGTCTTCGGCCCCGACCTCGCCCGAGTCGGCCGCCACGGAGCGCTGGTACAACGAGCAGGGGAGCACGCGCACTCCTGTGGAAACTCGGAGCATGAAATTCACGAGGTAATCATGGAGCCCCACCGAAGGTCCCCGTGGCGCAGTCCGCATGCGTCTCCCCCATCCAATACAGCGCTTCGTGGCCCCATAGGGGCTCCGCCGAAGGTCCCCGCGGCGCAGTCCGCATGCGTCTCCCCCACCCAGTACAACGTTTCGTGGCCCCATGGGGGCTCCACCGAGGGTCCCCGTGGCGCAGTCCGCATGCGTTCTGGAGGAGTTCGTCTCGCCTCGGGATCTTGATGGAGGTTTCCTCAGGTTTTCGCATGCTCTCGGAGGTTTTCTCGCCGTTGACTACCTACCAGACCACCCCAACCCAACCCGAAGACCCGAATTTCGGGTTGGGGGGGGCAAGGGTTCCATACGTGTTTTTTCGATGGTTCCCGACCCCCCCCCCAACTGGAAATCGAGGGTAAATTTGACCCTTCGGGTTGGGTTGAGGTGGTTTGGTGGGTGGTGAGCCGTGGGGTGCTTCCAGCATCTGCGCCTCGTCGAGGGCGCTCTGTGGGGGTGCCCAGGTCGCCCCGAACGGCCGCCAGAGGCCCGAGAGCCTGACCCGAACACACAGACAGGGCGGCAGACGTTCGGAAGCCCACGGATCCGGTGCCGATAAGACGGCTCATCACCCTCCGGGCCTCCTGCTCCTCGTCCCCCTCCCCCACCCCCTCCTCCTCCTCCTCCTCCTCCTCCTCCTCCTCCTCCTCCTCCTCCTCCTCCTCCTCCTCCTCCTTACGCCTCTGGTTCTGCTTGTTGGGGCCTCCTGGGAGGCCCTCGTCGCCACGGCTGGATTCGCCACGACATGCTGGTCAGATCGCACCCCGGGAGAGGTCCAGGGAATAGACCTCCCCAGATGTCCGACGATGTGTCTTCCCCAATCCGAGCGTTTTTCCTCGCGTTCGGCCTGCAGGCCCGTTCTCGGGCCCCAGAGCCATGAAACTTGCATCCAGGGCAAAAAAACTGCCCCTCGGAGAGGGGTCGGGAACTCTGGGTCGGCGCGTTGAACAAGGAGCACGCGTGCCAAAGATCATACAATTCGCGGATGCGAGACAGACGGCAGATGGCAATGGCGCCAAGGTCCGGTAGGGGGGGGGGGCAAGCGAGTGCCCCGACAGGCCGGCGACAGACCATAACGAAGGAGCAGTCCCGATGTTTTGTGCATCCTGAAGCCGTCTCGGGGGCCCCGTGGTCGTCGGTCGTCGGTGGTGGTGGTGGTGGTCGTCGTCGCCGGTCGTCGTCGTCGTCGTGGTCGTCGTGGTCGTCGTGGTCGTCGTGGTCGTCGCGGTCGTTGTCGTGGTCGGATTGCTTGCTGCTGCGCCTCCCTCAGCAAGGCAACTCGCCTGGCGGCTGCTTTGAGATGGGCTGGTTGGGATACGCGAGGCGTGAAGAGCGGGGGGGGGCACGGGGGAGAAGGCGCGGAGGCCCGGGAAGAGTGGGGGGAGCACGCGGGGTAGATGGGCGCAGGGGAGGAGCGGGGGGAGGGCGCACGGTCGGAATAAGGCGAGGGGGGCCCGGGGAAGGCGGGGGGTGCACGAGGGAGCACGCGCGGAAGCTCGGAGAGGGTGGGGGAAGCACGGGGGCCAGGGGAGGGGGCGCAGGGAAGGAGCGGGGAGAGGGCGCACGATCGGAATATAGGGGAGGGGGGCCCGGGGAAGGCGGGTGGAGCACGAGGGAGAAGGCGCGGAAGCCCGGAGAGGGTGGGGGCGCGCAGGGAAGCACTTATAAGGCAAAGGGGGGGGTACAGGGAGGAGCGGGGGAGGGGGCGCACGGTCGGAATAAGGGAGGGGGGCCCGGGGAGGGCGGGGGATGCACGGGGGAGAAGGCGCGAGGCCCGGGAAGAGTGGGGGGAGCACCGGGGCAACGGGAGAGTGGCGCAGGGAGGGGCGGGGGGAGGGCGCGCGGTCGGAATAAGGGGAGGGGCCTCCGGGAAGATGGGGGGCACGGGGGCAACAAGGGGGAGGCGCAGGGGGAGCGGGGGGGGGAGGGCGCACGGTCGGAAGAAGGGGGGGGGGGGGGGGGGGCACGGAGGGGAGGAGGGGGGGAGGGCGCACGGTCGGAATAAGGCGAGGGGGGCTCGGGGACGGCGGGGGGGCACGGAGGAGAAGGCGCGGGGGCCCGGGGAGCGTGGAGGGAGCACGGGGGCAAGAGGAGACAAGCGCAGGGGAGGAGCGGTGGAGGGGGGCGCACGGTCGGAATAAGGGGAGGGGGGCCCGGGGAAGGCGGGGGGGGCACGGGGGACAGGGCGGGGGAGCCGGGGGGCGTGGGGGGAGCACGGAGGCATCGGGAGAAGGGCGCAGGGGAGGGGCGGGGGGAGGGCGCACGGTCGGAATAAGGCGAGGGGGGCCCGGGGAAGGCGGGGGGTGCACGAGGGAGCATGCGCGGAAGCTCGGAGAGGGTGGGGGAAGCACGGGGGCCAGGGGAGGGGGGCGCAGGGAAGGAGCGGGGAGAGGGCGCACGATCGGAATAAGGGGAGGGGGGCCCGGGGAAGGCGGGTGGAGCACGAGGGAGAAGGCGCGGAAGCCCGGAGAGGGTGGGGGCGCACGGTCGGAATAAGGGGAAGGGGCATCTGGGCAGACGGGGGGCACGGAGGCAAGGGGAGGGTGTTGCAGGGGAGGAGCGGGGGGAGGGCGCGCGGTCGGGATAAGGGGAGGGGGCCCGGGGAGGGCGGTGGAAACACGGGGGAGAAGGCGCGGAGGCCCGGGAAAAAGGAGAGGAACACGGGGGCAACGGCAGAGGGGCGCAGGGGAGGAGGGGGGGGAGGGCGCACTGTCGGAATCAGGCCAGGGGGGCCTTGGGAAGGCGGGGGGCACGGAGTCAAGAGGAGGGAGGCGCAAGGGAGGAGCGGAGGGAGGGCGCACGGTCGGAATAAGGCGAGGGGGGCCTGGGGATGACGGTGGGAGCGTGGAAGGGAGGAGCGGGGGGAGGGCGCGCGGTCGGAATAAGGGGAGGGGGGGCCCGGGGAGGGCGGCGGGAGCACGGAGGAGCAGGCGCGGGTGTCCGGGGAGCGTGGGGGGAGCACGGGTGCAAGGGGAGAGGGGCGCAGGGGAGGAGCGGGAGAGGAGGGGCGCACGGTCGGAATAAGGGGGGGCTCGGGAAAGGCGGGTGGAGCGCGGGGGAAAAGGCGCGGAAGCTCGGGGAGCGTGGGGGAGCACGGGGCGAAGGGAGCGGGGCGAATGGGAGGAGCAGGGGGGCAGGTGCACGGTTAGAATAAGGGGAGGGAGGCCCGGGGACGGCGGGGGAAGCACGGGGGAGAAGGGCGCGGGGGCGCGGGAGGGTGCGAGGAGGACGGGGGCAAGAGGAGGGAGGCGCAGGGGAGAGCGGGGAGAGGAGGGGGGGGGCGCACGGTCGGAATAAGGAGCGGGGGGGGCTCGGGGACGGCGGGGGAAGCGGGGGCCGGGGAGCGTGGAGGGAGCACCGGGGCAAGGAGAGAGGGGCGCAGGGGCGGAGCGGCGGGGGGCGCACGGTCGGAATAAGGGGAGGGGGGGCCAGGGAGAGCGGGGGAAGCACGGGGGAGAGGGCGCGGGGGCGCGGGGAGGGTGGGAGGAGGACTTGGGCAAGAGGAGGGAGGCGCAGGGGAGAGCGGGGGGAGGAGGGGGGGGCGCACGGTCGGAATAAGGAGTGGGGGGGGGCTCGGGACGGCGGGGGGAGCACACAGGGAAGGCGCGGGGGCCGGGGAGCGTGGAGGGAGCACTGGGGGCAAGGAGAGAAGGGCGCAGGGGAGGAGCGGCGGGTGGGCGCACGGTCGGAATAAGGGCAGGGGGGCCGGGGAGAGCGGGGGGGAGCACGGAGGAGAAGGCGCGGGGGCCGGGAGCGTGGAGGGAACACGGGGGCAAGGAGAGAGGGGCGCAGGGGAGGAGCGACGGGGGGGCGCACGGTCGGAATAAGGGGAGGGGGGCCCGGGGACGGCGGGGGAAGCACGGGGGAGAGGGGCGCGGGGGCGCGGGGAGGGTCGGAGGAGGACTTGGGCAAGAGGAGGAGGAGGAAGCGCAGGGGAGCGGGGGGGGGGGAGGAGGGGGGGGGCGCACGGCTCTGGGGACGGCGGGGGGAGCACGGAGGAGAAGGCGCGGGGGCCGGGGAGCGTGGATGGAGCACGGGGGCAAGGAGAGAGGGGCGCAGGGGAGGAGCGGCGGGGGGGCGCACGGTTGGAATAAGGGAAGGGGGGCCCGGGGAGAGCGGGGGGAGCACTGGGGACAGGGCGCGGGGGCGTGGGGAGGGTGGGGGGAGCTCAGGGGCAAGGAGAGGGGGGCGCAGGGGAGGAGCAGGCAGGGGGGGCGCACGGTCGGAAATAAAGCAGTGCGAGATCACACTGGTGATGATAAAATCAGATCGTCTGGGGGCCGTGTGGTGATCTCGACATCCCCGAACGACCGGGCCACACGGCCCCTCACCGCACGCTTTGGGAGCCCTGGGGGCCCCAGCCGACAGACTGACGTTCTCGAAGAGCGGCCCGAAGTCCCCCGAGCGGTAAGTCCGCAACTAGGGGGCCACGTGCTAACCCTACCCCTACCCCCCACGATTTCTGAGGGGGAGGGTGGGGTTCACTTCGCTCGGGAGCTCCAGAACGAAATGAACCCCGCCCTCCCTCTCAGAAATCGTGGGGGGCAGGGGTAGGGTTCGCACGTGGCCCCCTAGCAACCAATTCCCGAAGACTCACCACAGGGTGCGGTCACCGCACCGTTTGTCAGAGCATGGCGAATCTGAGACAACGGCAACTCAGAACCAGCTCCCAAAAGCCTCCCGGGATCCAAACGCACCAGCTTTCCGAACTGCGCCCATCCGTGGCGACAAGGGGGCCCCCGAAAGACACATGCCGTTGGCTCAACTCTCGCAATCCCCTGAGATCCAACGTTGCGAAAAACTGCAACACCACGAACAATCACGACTAGAGCTCTAGACCGCATCTTCCTGCGGCAGTTTCCAGCCGGCGCGATCCAGCAAAAACGCCTGGTGTGAAAAGATCGCAGAGCCCGGATCTCAAGGGCCGTTGTCTCAACCCGCCCCAACCCGCCCTCCTCTGAGCTTGGGATGTCCCCGAGCTCCGAGAGCGCTCGCGTCGGCGCCCCGGAGCAGCGCGGTGAGCATGCGGGGCCCCGTGCCGCTGCTGGGGTCGTCCCAGCGGCGCGCGCCGCTCGGCGAGGAACCGAAGATCCTTGCCAGGGCGAGGCGCCACAGCTCGTGGCCCGGCGGCGATGCCATCAGCGAGTTCTCGACGTCGATGCCAGCGTCCTTCGACCTGCACTCCAGCAAGCTCGCCTTGGGTTCTCATACGTTTCCGCCAGTTCTCAGCGGCTTTCCGGCCTCAGGATGCCTTCCAGCGGCTGCGCCTCGCCGAGAAGGTTCCAGGGGGTCCTGGATCGCCCAAATGGCCGCTGGAGATCCGAGATATGACCCGAAAACAAGAAATGACGAAGATTCATTTGGGGAGACCAGCTCAGAGGGAAAAACGACACCCTGAAATCGGCGATACGCTGCCGATGTACCGCTGACCGGGCCCAAATAGCGAATCCGAACGCTCCTGGGTGGGTTAGGCTGTCAGGCCCCTGTCGGCGATGAATGTTCGGTGGCAAGTCATGGGAACCTCCCATACCATCTTGCCGGTTCTTGCGAATCGACACTAGTCGACGCTAAATCGACGCTAGCCGACGCTAAATCGGCGGTATCGCATCGACTCCCAGACGCTAACCGACGCTAGTCCGCACTAAAGACGGAATTCAGAGGGCACCAAGCTCCCATTAGTTGCTACCGAGCCCCCCTGAGCCTATCCTCCGCTAGCGCTGCCCCTGATCGCCAGGCCAGGCATGAGGTCGCCGAAAAACTCAGTACGCGCCTCCAGGGGAGCAAATGACTGTACAGACGCAAACTGTTGGAGCTCCGCGCAGATGTTTGGGATCTGCGTTGGGCACCCCTCCTTGGCGCGTGGATCGCGCCAGGGGCGGCGCCTGAGGCGCACAGCGCCGATCCGAAAAGTCCGCGCGGATCTCCGAAAATGTACGACTATGCCGCTTTTTCTTCTTACCGCACCGTCTCGGGACCGCCCGAGGAGAGCTCGTGCCCCAGAAGTCCCGACCCCTTCCCTGGGGCAAGTCTCTCCCCCCAGATCCGAGTTGGATGGCCCCTGGCCCCGACAACGGGCCCCGAAGCCCGAAATCGAAGAAAAACTCCCAGGTCATTGACAAACAATAAGCATGTCGTCGGAGATCTCGAGCCTCGTAGTCGAGGTCGGCGTATATGCCGCCGTGGCGATGCATCACGCAGTACCTGGAGGCCTCCCAGATGGTGTCCGAGTAGATGGGGTCGGAGGATCGCACCGCATCGCCAGTGTATCGCCGATGCAGCAGGATGTGGGGCCCGACTTGATCCACACCGACGTCGCCGATGCATCGGCGATGCGGCGCGATCCTTGGACCCGACCTGCTCGGACCCCATCTGGGATGCCTATACAGCACCTGCCCGCGTCCGACCGCTCGATGCCGCCGGGCAGCGCGAGGAAGCCGCCGAGGTGCTGCGGAAACTCCTCGCGCACGCACTCCGTCAGGTTGTCATCGCTCCACAGGAGGTGCTGAAAGCCCTGCCTCATAAGAGTTAAGAAGCAACTGCACGAGCGCGAACCTTCGACGTGGTTCATTCCATCTCCGCGTCGTTCCCTGGTTTCGGCCTCCGAGGGGCGACCAGCCGAAATGGGTCCGAGCACGTGGGGAGAAGAACAAGCACCACCACCACCACCACCACCACCACCACCTGGAGGATGCAAGCAGCTCGTGGTGGGGCATCGTGCACACCCGGAAATCCCGCACTCCAGCCCATCCTCAATCCCCCCAGGTGGCGGTGCTGGTGGTGCTCCCGCTCCGAGGCGCAAGCCCTGGCCCCAGACGGAGGGCCGGGGCCCCTCGGGGCCCCATAACGGTGCGGCGCGAGAGGCGCCGCCAGGGGGGGGGGGCCGGCGCCGATGCGAGACATCCGCGCGCTCCTCCGAAGGCTCATGCTTATGCAGTTGCTTCTCGTGCTCGGGAGGTGCTGTGATGGGCCAATGATCCACCACCGCTGCCATGTGTAGGACGGGACGGGGGAGAGGGGAGGATGGGGAGGTCCTCCTCTCCTCCTCCTCTCCTCCTCCTCCTCCTCCTCCTCCTCCTCCTCCTCCTCGTTCTCCCTCTCCTGCCTGTGGCAGTGGTGGTGGTGGAACATCGGCCCATCCTGCTGGAGGCCGTGCCTGACAGGGAAGAAGCGCCGCCAGCTGCGGAGGGCGATCTCCCAGACGAGCACCGGGAACCTCCCAGGCCGCGCGCCGGGCGGCCGCGTGAGGCAGCAGGGCCGGCGGCTGGCGGCTGGTAATTAACGGGCGAAGAACGGTATAAAATAAATATGTAAGTTTATACCCTTACGGTGGCACCGTAGGGGTATAAACTTTCCAGCCGCCCAGGGGCAGGTGCCCTCGACGGCGAGAAAGTTTATTTTATACCGTTCTTCGCCCGTTCAGGTAGTGACACGTGATACCAGAATAGAAGGGGGATCCAGGAAGACAACAGGGCTTGCAGAGGTTCCAAACTGGAAACACGTCTAGTCCTTCGAGCCAAGGATCAGGTTTGGAAACGAGTGTGGATATCAACACGGCTGACCCAACAAGAATGGGCACTCGGCAAAGAGGACGATGGTCAGGTGGCAGTGCTGGGCGGGCCTTCCCTTCCAGGGGGGGCCCAGATACTGGGCCCCAGAGACTGGGGCTGGGTTTGCTCAAGTGGTGCCGGGAGATTTCAGGAGGCCGAAAAGGGCCCCGAGGCGTAGGCCAGGAGGTTCCTCCTGATCAAAGTTGGAAACGTGCCAACGCGGATGGGAACGTTGAGGCACTTATGCGAAAGATCGCCGCTGACGAGCAATAGTTCGACAACTTGTATCAGGCCTTCATCAGACGATAAGATAATGAGATGATATGAACTTCCAAACTGCTACCACTGAGACGTTAGCTGAGAACTGTGTCTCTGTAATTGTCTTTTTCTGCCTTCCTCCCCGTTGAATCCCATCCATGTTATGATCATCATCCTCCTCTCGTCTCCTTCCTCCTCTGGTCCCCCTGGCGCACATTTGGCGCGTCGTCGCTTGGCTTGTTGGGTTCGTGTGCATTCGCAGAAGGGAACGTTTGGACGAGAATGAAAGGATGAGGTGGAGGAGTCAGCCCTGATGTCTCGGTGTATGCCAGCGCGCAGTAGCGCCCGAGACGGACAGAGGCTGAATGTAGCCCCGCTCTTCGGTCCGCGCTGCCTCCATTGTTCTAGCAGGTGTGGCAAGTGGCTACCAAGTCAAACCAGGGCGTCGGCATCCCTCATGGGGTGGAAGGGTGAGGGGGTGATTAGATGTATCTTGAGTCGGCAGCGATTCGGATTCAGATGCCAGGCGAAATGTTACCCTCGTTTTATCCTCCTGCACGCAGGCAATATAGTGCCTGATATCTTCAATTCGGGATGTTGGTGGGCAGAGGGAGAGGAGGAGGATGAGTGTTCGAGCGCAGCGGCGCCAGAAACGAACTGCGACTGAGATCACCTCCGCTGCTCGGTCCTTGCGCGCTCCTTCCACAGTACCCTGTCGCGCAGAGGTTTGCCGACTCGGATGTTCTGCTGCGCCCAGGTTTGCTATTTGCAGTGCCCGTGCTCTTTGACAGTGTGTCGCAACAAAGTGTGGCCACTTTTGTGTTGCAAGTTAAGGGGTGCCGAACAGCGGGGAGTTCGGAAGAGGGGAACGGATGAGGTGGGAGGATGTCCGTTGACTGAATACTGAGTTTACATTGGTTGATCTCTGGAGTCGGCAGCGCTTCGGATTCAGATACCACGCGTAGCTTTATCTTCCTGCGTGCGCGCAATACTCAGACAGTGCCAGCCCGCAGGGCCAGCCTACAGGTTAGCCCACAGTGCCAGCCTTCAGTCAGCAGTCGCGAAGGGTTCGTGCTAAACCCGAAAAGAATGAACAACAAACACGCGGCCCCAGGTCCAGGTGGTTAGGGGTAAACCCAAAAACCCTGGGTAGCATCCCTAGAATTGCCGCCATGCTTGCACTCACCATCTCTCGTTTCACGTTTCTGGCACACTGCCAACCTTCACCTGCATCTTACTCTTGACATGACAGAGGCGGCACTGACCATTGAATCTGCTGGGGTCTACTATTACCCTTGGATGTGGGGGCGGGGGGAACATCTTACCAAGGTCTGTGCCGACCTCTAGTAAATTGCGATCGCCTGCTCCTTTTGCTACTCTGGTCTCTGCCTCAATTTCCAGCTTTTTCCGCGGTGCCCGCCAGGTGCATTTTGAACTGAATCGTGTACGCGCCATTTTCTTCCCCAGTCAAGAACGCCACAGCTTCAAGCTTAGGCTGGTCTGACGTACAAAGAGGAGGAACAGGAGGAGGAGCACGAGGTGGAGGTGGACGAGGAGAGAGGAGCAGAGAGGAGAATGTCGCCACCTAAACGTTGCCCCCCGAGAGCAGCCGCACACTCGGCGGCCGACCGGCCGCCGGCCCTCGCAGTGCACAAGCCGCGGCAGGGCTGCTGCCGCGCCAGCGCGCGGCAGCGCCGCCGCCAGCGCCGCCAGGCGGCCGGCGGTCCGGGAAGGCGCGCCGCCCGGCTCACTGCGGCGAGGAGCCGCCGCGCGTCGTGAGAGGCTTCCCTAATGAGCGACTGAAAGAGGAACGGGCCTTACTCGAGGTGGCGTAGCGACCACACGCGGTGGCTCAAATACGCTGGCCGCTGGCGCGGCCTGCTGCACTGGATTTGAGGGCTGTTACGCGAGACCTTGCGCGGGCAGTTTACGCGCCAATTTCTACGCAGACGACCCCCTGTCTTTGAGTCGCTCAAATGGGCTCCGAGCAGAGGGGGTCGGAGGATCGCGCCGCATCGCCAAAGCATCACCGATGCATCCACGATGCACCGCCGACGTCGGCGACGCATCGGCATCGTCGGCGTGGAGAAAATTGGACTCCACATCGAGACGCATCACCGATGCATCGGCGATGCGGCGCGATCCTCGGACCCCATCTGCTCTGACACCGCCTGGGAGGCCTAGCATCTCCCAGACCCCCTCGCGTCGTGAAGAAAAGTGCTGGCAAGTCTTGCATCACCCTCGTCGGCTGGTTTGCGGGCTTGCTCGCCTCGGGATGCTTTCTATCACCTGCGCCGCGTCAGAGGCGTTCCGGGGGTGCCTGAAATCGTCCCGAACGGACGCAGGGTGTCCAATCAGAGCCCAAACCCAAAACAAACATACATCCCGAAAAGATCACGACGGAACATCCTCGGACCTGCTCGGCGTCTGGGGGCCATTGCAAGTGGGACGCCCGATATGGGTGCGGAAATGGTCGGTACGATGCCCAACAATAAAGGCTGTCCCAAACCGAAAGAGGCCGCTGTTGGGCAGGCGATGTGCTGTCTCAAGCGAACAACGTCCACGGCAGCGCCGACAGCGAATCCTACTCAAAATGGATAGGAACTGCCGTCGGCCTTCGTCACTGTTCTTTCCGAATCGATTTCGATCCTCCAGATACCAATCCCTGGGGCCGTCAGAAAACGGCTCAGGATGCAAAGACATTTCCTGGAAGGGGTCGAGACCTCCCCAGGGTCCCCGTTGAGAAAAAGCCATGACGCATCGGGGGTCTGGGCTTGTGGGCAAGGCCATCCCCTCCCACCATCGGCCCCCCGAGCTGACCGGAACCCGAGCCGAGAACATCAGGCCAACACATCATGACGGCATCTGATCCCGCGCCCCGGCCAGCAAGCAACTCCTGGGAGGTGTTCGTAAGAACCAAATAGGTCTGATAAGTCAGGACAAGGGCAAGTAAATTGGATCAGGCCGGATGAATCGCAATATTCTATAAGTCGAGCTTAGCAGAATGAAAGCGCTAGACTATGCCGGATGTTATTCGTGCACGGATGTACCAGCGCCGATGCTGAGCTCAGCCTCCCAAGCGTGGCATCGTAGAGAGGGGGGTTGAATTCTAGAAATTATCTCAGCACCCACCTGCGACCCCATTGGTGATTCCTTGAGACGGCTGGAAAACCTCATGAACTTCTTGGGGAACCCTTGCGATCCCATTAGTGATTCCTTGAGACGGCTGGAGAACCTCAAGGATTTGTTTGGCCGCCCTAAGGGTCTCCTGAGGACACGCAAGGAGCTCTCTTTCGCAGAAGTCTGCCATCTCCATGAGTTGTCAACAGGAGCCACCTGGAGTTACCTCGGCGGCATCTCGGGCTGCGCTGCGGTCATACCCATCGCGCTACCAGGAGGGCAATGCCTCTGAGCAAAAAGAGCAGCACTACATCCCTCAGAGCGCCACAAGCGCGTGAGCGCAGCATAACCTCGCGAATGCCTTAGCAGGCCTGTGAGCACACAGCACAGCACGCCCGTGTAAGCACCTCAATAATTTGCGAACGCTACAGAACTCCCGAGGTTGCCACGGGACAACCGCCGTGACGTAATCAGGGGGGAGACTGGGGCCGATTACGCTCGTTGTCGCCTAGAGGGGGAAAACAGGCTCTTGAGTATCTTGACTGTTGGTCGAAAGTGCTTGAAACTGATAACTGATATGGCACGTTGCGTATAATGGGAGACAACAGTATTCACATTCATCTTGTGTTTGCTGACTTCCCCCCATTTCAGCGCATGCCAACGCAAAGACGCATGTAATCCTAGGGCCTCAAACCTCCGGCCGGGTCTCTCTCATCTGGTGGTGGTCTACATGCGCATCTTCCTGTGAAAGTCCATCCAGAATTAGCGAAAGACATGCGCAGAGCGGCGTCCAGCCTAGCTGATTACCGGCTGGCCTGGGCAGGCTACCAACTCAGAAGACTCGGCCTTCTGTGCCATGCACCACGGGCCCACAGCAGCGCCAAGATGGCTTCAACAGGCCCGAATCGATGATCATCAGAGCGCATGTTGGCACCAACGTGTCCCTTGCCCACCGAAGCCCATCAGCAAGACGCAGGCGGGCATAGAGAGAAGGCCATCACGGGCTGCGTGCTATCGGTGGAGCGGCCCAGGGTGAACGCACATTGGTGGGCTAACTCTAGAGGCCTCCCAAATGGGGTCCGAGTAGACAGGATCGGAGGATCGCGACGCATCGCCCCGATGCATCGCCGATACATCGGCGACGTCAGAGTGGAGAAAATCGGGCTCCGCATCGAGCCGCATCGTCGTCTATGCATCGGCGATGCGGAGAGAATCTCCGACCCAATCTGGTGGAATACATTTGGGGGGCCTAGAAACACACGTCAGGATGTCTCGGGCACGCTCTGGAAGCGTTCCAGAACGCTCTGGACCAGATTCATCCTCTTCCTAGCCACGTCGGATCCTGCTGGCGCCGTAAGTACCGAATTTCCCGACACGGTATCATCAAGACCGTGGGGCTTGGCATCGGGAGACTTTCGATGGGTGCTGCTACCTTACTCCAGAGAGTGGTGTCTGCCGGGTAGACACAATTGAAAGACCATCGCCCTGAAGGGTCAAGGGGGACGTCTTATGTTGCTGTACATGGGACCATACGATTCCTGGTCGCTCAGAAACTAAGAAGGCACATTCAGCTGAAGTTCGAAGTGATGATGAGTGGACCAAGCCAAAGTCGACAACGAGGTTCTTGGAGCACGGCAATTCGTTCGAATGTATGGTTCAAGCGCCTACCATCCTGCCAAGATATGCGCTGATTGGACACCGCAGCTCATTGGCGACAACCTTGACTCTGGAACACATGCGTATTGAATGCTGGAGTACCGCTACGAAAGGTATGCATCAAATAACTTGCAGAGCGCGAATGGATTGTTTGGTGTCGGGAATGGACAGAACCCCCTTCAGTAAAACGTGGTTTAGTGAAAACGACCTCGGGTCCAACCCTGGCGGGCGCAAGCCTGGAAAATGACGGCCGCGGCGCCCTCTCGAGAACCGAAAACGGACAATTCACTAATCGACGTGTCAGGGTGGGGGTTCTGTCCACCCCTGATGGTGTCTGAGGCCCTCCCCATGGGCGTGGCCTGGGCCCCGCTGGCCGCTCTGCCCCCCCCCCGATGAGGATATCGGCCGTTCCCTTCGGGCTTCGAGGGGCAGATCCTCAACTGGAAGGGCGCGCCGCTGGATCACCCAAAGGGGGGGGGGGTTCGGAACCCCCCCCCCCCTTGCCCGAGCCGTGGTCGGCGACCCCCCCGGATGGGGGGGTCCGGATGGGGATGCAGCTGGGGACAGGGGTTCGGATACTGAACGGGGGGGGGGGGGGGCGAGAGCGCAGCGCTAACGCACAGCGATGTTTTGCCTGGCGGCGCAGGTCACACCCTCCGCGCTGCCCACGGCGCGGCGCGCCCCGCTGGGCCCACGCCGGCCCACGCACCTCTGGCGCGGGGATGCGCCGAGAGAGAAAGAGAAAGAAAGAGCGAGAGAGGGTTAGGGAGAGGGATGAAGATAAGGACAGCGAAAGAGAGAGAGAGAGAGATGGGGGAAACATCGACCTGCGAACGGCGATACGCCGCCAATAGATCGGCGATACGCCCCCGACACCGAATCCGCACGATCCTAGGCGGGGTGGGCTATCGGGTCCCTGTTGGCAGCCACACCTGAGCCTTTCGCCCTCTGGCATTGACCCTGATGCAACATCCGTGACATGCGCTCAGTCTCTTCTGGTCCCTCCTCCGCCCCGTCTGAAAACATCCTCGCGACGTTGCACTTGAGACCGCGGCGTTGCATGTGAGACTTCGACGAGTGCGAGAGAAGGCGTCACGCGACGCCCTTGCGGTGGGAGCCGAGCTAACTCGAGACGTCGGCATCGCCCATCGCCCGTTTCAGAAAACTCCCTGTCCTAGAGGAAGAAAGAACGGCGTAAACGTGGACTTCTGGCGATCCGCGCGGATCTCTTGGCTCCGCGCTGGGCCCCCCTCCATGTCGCGCGGGAAGCGCCAGGGGCGCCGCCTCGGGGGTCCCAATGCAGAACCAAGAAATCTGCGCGGAACCCGAAAGCTTATGTTCATGCCGTTTTGTCAGCGCCCCACTAACGGAGACTCCATTAAGGGGTGCTTTGGCCAATGACCCGGCGAACCCCACCCTCCCCGATGTGGGCAACGCTGCTGTGCCAGAACGAGGCCCTATAAAGCGGCAACTTCGGGCATTTCCACAGCACCCGCTGGTGAGGACCCGTTGTGGTGCTGCTTATTTTGTCTCTGTCGATCAAAACTCCCTCGTGTCTCCGTCAGTGGAGGCCTGGAAATGGGCACCAACACCAACACAGGTGGCTGCCTCCACATGGGGAAGACGATCCTAGATTTCGGTGTTGGTGGCAATATTTCGGCCACCTTGGAAGCCAGAATACTACCACCGTCACCGAGATCCGGATCGTCTTCCCCCGGTGGAGGCACACCGCCGATCTTGGTGTTGGTGTCAACCTCTAGGACTGCGAATCAAAACTCCCCCGCGTCCCCGTCCGCCCTTCCCCCCGCCCCCGCCCCGCGCCGTGCAGCGGCGAGGCCGGCGCCGCGAGGCCGTGCGCCCCCCGGGGCCCGCTGGCCGCCAGCGGCGGCGGCGGCGCGGCCGCGGCGCCCGCCAGCCTCTCGCAGCGGGGGCGCGCTGGGCGAAGGGCGCCGCACCTCCTCCACCTCCTCGTCACCATCATCATCGTCATCCTCCTCCTCCACCTCCTGCTCCTCAGCACCACCATCATCATCATCATCATCATCATCATCATCATCATCATCATCATCATCATCAGCATCATCATCATCATCACCATCATCATCGTCATCCTCCTCCTCCACCTCCTGCTCCTCATCACCATCATCATCATCATCATCATCATCATCATCATCATCATCATCATCATCATCATCATCATCATCATCATTATTTCCATCATCATCAGCATCATCGTCAGCATCATCATTATTTCCATCATCAGCAGCATCATCAGCAGCATCATCATCAACATCATGATCAGCATCATGGCCATTATCATCATAATCATCAGTATAATAGACAGCATCATCATCAACATCATCAGCATCATCATCACCATGATCATCACCTTCATCATCATCATCATCATCATCATCATTATTTCCATCATCATCAGCATCATCGTCATCATCATCATCATTATTTCCATCATCAGCAGCATCATCAGCAGCATCATCATCATCAACATCATGATCAGCATCATGGCCATTATCATCATAATCATCAGTATAATAGACAGCATCATCATCAACATCATCAACATCATCATCACCATGATCATCACCTTCATCATGATCAGGATCATCATCATTGTCATTGCCATCGTAATCATCATCATCACCCGCCACATCATCATCAGCATCATCATCATTATCAACATACTCATCATGAGCATCTTCATCATCATCATCCTCATCATCATCAGCATCATCATCCTCATCATCAAACTCACCATCCTCATCATCAACATCCTCATCAGTATCCTTATCATCATCCTTATCATCGTCCTCCTTTTATCCTCAGCATCATCATGAGCATCATCATTGCAATCAACATCACCATCGTCGTCGTCATCGTCTTGATCGTCGTCATCGGCATCGCCATCAGCATCATCATATCACCACTGTCATCACCAATCAGTATCATCAGCATCAGCATCATCATTGCAATCACCATCGTCGTCGTCGTCGGCATCGTCGTCATCGTCGTCATCGGCATCGTCATCAGCATCATCATCAACACTATCATCATCTTCAACATCCGTGTCATCAACATCATCCTCAAAATCGTCAGCAGCCTGATCAGCATCAGCATCAGCATCAATTGCATCATCATTGGTGTCATTATCATCATTGCCATCATGATCATCACCAACAACATCATCATCATCATCAGCATTGACGCCCTCGTCGTCATCGTCATCGTCATCGACAACGTCGGCATCGTCAGTGTCATCATCATCATCACCTCCGCCACCATCATCATCAACATCATTTTCATCATCATTACCATCAGCAACATCATCAGTGTCCACATCCTCACCTGCATTATCATTTTCATCAGCATCATGAGTGTCATCAGCATCATCCTCATCAACATCTGCACCATCGTCATCATCATCACTATTATCACTATCAGCATCATCACCAGCATCATCATCATTGTCAACCTCATCGTCATCGTCAGAATCAACATCGTCATAATCGTCGTCGTCATCGTCATAGTAATAATCGTTGTCATCGTCGTCATCGACATCGCAATCGCCAGGACCGTCATCATCAGTATCAGCATCATCATCGTCTCAAGTATCATCCTTATTATCGTCATCGTCATCATCATCGTCGTCGTCGGCGTCGTCGTCGTCTGTCGACGTCGTCGTCTCAATCATCGTCATCACCGGTATCGTCATCAGCAGCGGCATCGTCAGCAGCAGCATCATCATCACCATGATCGCCATCCTCATCATTTCCATCATCTGCATCATCAGCATCATCCTCATTAACACTAATGATATCGCCATCAGCATCGTCATCCTTTTCATGATCCTCATCATCAGCATCACCAACATCATTATCAGCAGCATCATCATCGACATCATCATCATCATCATCATCATCATCATCATAATCATCATCATCGTCATCATCGTTATCGTCATCGTCGTCGTCGTAATCGGCTTTGTCGCCGTCAAGATCGGCATTATGAAAATTATCAGCGACAGCATGATTATCGTCATCATCATCATCACCATCACCATCATCATCATCATCATCATCATCATCATCATCATTGTCGTCCTAGTCTTAGCCGTCGTCGTCCGTCGTTGTCGTCATCATTGTCGGCATGATCATCGTCCTCAGCGACATCGTCATCAGCAGCAGCATCATCATGATCGTCAGTATCATCAGCATCATCGTCATCATCCTCAGCAAGTATCATCCTCATCCTCAGACTCATCATCATCATCAGCATCATCACTATCGTCATCATTATCATCAGCATCATCACCAGCATCATCATCATCCTCATCATCGTCACAATCAGCATCATCAACATCCTCAGCGTATGAAGGAAGTGAGAATGTACAGAGAAGTACGTCGGGTCTCGACGTACGTCGGATTTCGCAGGCCCCGCGCGGCAACTTGAGCCTCCCAAATGGGCGTCGTGTCGTGACAACGTCCGCGTTGCTTTTTTGACATCGCGTGGCTCGCTCAGCGTAAAGCGATTGCGGCATGTCGATCACGCGGGGTCGTTCGGTATCGGACGCTTCTGGGCCACTGGCTGCATTCAGCCTTGAACGCGGGCGCGGCGCAGACAATTCTGAGGAAGATTCTGGGGGCCTCTCGCGGCAACTTGAGACCCAATTTACGTCGGGCTCACGTCGGGTTTCCGTCGGATGTCCGTCGGATGTACGCTGGATTCACGTTGGACTCACTAGAGGCCTCCCTGATGGGGTCAGACAGAGTATAGAGTCAGAGGGATTCCCGCCTCATCGTCGATGCATCACCGATGGTTCGGCGAGACATCGGCAGCGTCGGCGATGCGTCGGCGTGGAGAGCATCGGGCTCCACGTCGACCCGCATCGCCGACGCATCCGCGATGCGGCGCGATTCTCCGACCCCATCTGCTCGGACCCCATCTGGGAGGCCTCTCGTCTGGCGGCGCGCCGCGCGAGGGACGCCGCACGAGGAACACGCCCAGACCGCCCCGCGCCGAGACAAACATCAGGACGCTGGGTTTGGGCTTGCAGTGTTAGGCCTTGGAGGGGCCCCCGCAGGGCCCAGGGGCCGTCGAAAAACGGCTCGGGATGAACAACTGGTCCAGGGGGGAAGGGGTCGTGACTCCCGGGGACCTCGCGACTTCCGGGGAACCCGCATGGAAAAACTTTCTCCTGGCGAAAGACCCAACTATATGCAATTGTGGGTACCGCAGTTGTGAGCCCAGCCTTCGGTGGAGCTCCCTGCGGGACCATGAAACGCGTGAAGGGTGCGCCGAAATGGGTGCTATGGCGCCATGCGAACCCTGCCAGTGGGGCCTTCGATGGAGCTCCCTGTCGGGTCATGAAACATGTGAGGGGTGTTTCGAAATGGGGCGGTGCCGCCATGCGAACTTTGCCACTGGGGCCTTCGGTGGAGCTTCCCATGGGGCCACGAAGAAACGTGTGAGGGGTGTGGCGAAATGGGCGCGGGGCCGCCATGCGAACCCTGCCACTGGGACCTTCTGGGGAGCTCCCTTTGGGGCCACGAAACTTTTGAGGGGTGCGCCGAAATGGGGCGGGGCCGCTATGCGAACTTTGCCACTGGGGCCTTCCGGGGAGCTCCCTATAGGGCCACGAAACGTGTGAGGGGTGCGCCGAAATGGGGCGGGGCCGCTATGCGAACTTTGCCACTTGGGCCTTCAGTGGGGCTCCCAATGGGGCCACGAGGCGTGTGAGGGGTGCGCCGACATGGGGCGGGGCCGCCATGCGAACATTGCCACTGGGACCTTCGGTGGGGCTCCCTATGGGGCCACGAGGCGTGTGAGGGGTGCGCCGAAATGGGGCGGGGCCGCCACGCGAACTTTGCCACTGGAGCCCAGCGGACCCTTCACGCGACGAGGATCGCAACGCCCCACGAGCTCGGAGTAGATCTCCGCCGTAGGACACCCAGGCATCATCCCTCCAGGCCTGCGCCGCGCGGCAAAGGCCGTGACTTCTGGGGGGGCCCATACGCAAAAAAAAACAAGACATCGGAGTCTGGGGCCACGAGCCGGGCCGGCCTCTCGGCGGGCGAGCCAGGCGAGGGACGCTGCTTGCATCACCGCAAGGGTTGCCAGCGGGATGTGGGGCTGTGTGTGGATTTGCTAATGTCAGTTCTATGTGGCCGAACCTAGCTTAGAAATGGGTCGCCAATGCCCTGAGCGGCTTACGGGGGGGCCAAGATCAGGGATCAGTGGGCGGAACCCACTGAGTGGGCGGAGCCCACTTGACAGAGATACCGAATCTCTTAAGGTATGAGGAGCAAAGAGAAGAAAGACCGTGCTGCCGTGCTGCCATCCACCGTGCTACCATCAATCGTGCTACCCTAAGGCACGCATCGTGCTACCACCCACCGTGCTTCACATCGGGCGTTTTCGCCTGGTCCTGGGCCTCGGGACCGTTACGGGCCAAATGTCGCAGGATGATGGGGTCTAGGGCTCCGGCCGTGACGTTTCACGATGTTACGACTTTCTCGATTCGTCGAATGCGCCGAGGGGAAAAGTGAGAGGAGACAGCCATCCTCAGAAGGCAGCAGGGCTTCTGAGAAGCCTTCCCGTCTTCTGAGTATGAAGGGGCTCAAGGACACACTATTTAATACACACAAATAACCGGATCCCCCATATTTCCCCATATGTTTTGGATGTTCGTCTTCCCCCCACTTCCCATATTTTCCCATATCTTCCTTGGAGTCGACGATTCATTGTGTCTGTGTGTTTCTTTCCTTCCTGAGAGTAGCCCTCTGTGGCTTCGGAGAGAGCTCTGAACGCTTCCCTGAAGGCCAGGGGCCTGCTGAACCTTCCGAGAAGACCCGCCCCCTCTGCCTTCCCCCCTGGGCGCGCCGCCGAAGAAAGAAGGCCAAATGCGGGGCGAGGGGGCTTGTGAAGGGGCCCTGGGAAACACTAATACATACACACAAACAAACAGATTCCCCATACTTTCCCCATATTTTCTGGGTTTCCGTCTTCCTCCCCACTGCCCATGTTTTCCCATACTTTCGGGGGGATCGACGATGAATTGTGTCTGCGTGTTTCTTCCCCTCCTGAGCTTGTCTGGTCAAGAGTAGATTCCCCGACCCTCATCTACGGAGCGGCCCGAAAGCCAGGGCCCCTCCTGAGCCACGAGTGGCCCTTGCTCCAGCATCCTAGCTGCACGAGCTTCTGTGCACCGGCGGGTCGCCAGGTGGCTCAATCGGACGGTGTCACCAGGCATCCTCGGCCCGACCGTGCGAAAGGAGAGCTGCACGAGCAACAGACACAAAACACAAACAGACACTGTCGAAGCTCAGGGAGGAGCTCCTGGGCGGGCCTGGCCACAAAGCCTGCAGAACGGGGCGCCACGGGAGCGGCGCGGCGGGGGAGGCCCACTCGAGACGGTGCCCACAAGCCCAGTCAGGATGGAGCCCTCCAGGAACGGGGGGGGGAAGCGTCGTCGAATGTTTTGGTTCTCGGGGCACCGGCAACCAGCTCCAAAAGTCCCCCAAGGCGCTGGCTCCAGACTTGAGCGAACAACTGGGGGCACCTTAGGCCAGAGGCTCCTGTAACAGGCCCCGAAGCCAGGACCCGAACGAAATCAGACAAGGACAGCTCGGGGATCTCTGAAACACGGCGGCCCTGGAGGAGGTATGGGGCGCAGCGGCCGTTGCAGGGCGCTCAGGAACGCTTCGAGAGCGCTTCAGAACGCTCCGAGACGATCTATCCCTACAGACCGAGACGCCCGACGTCGTGATTATTTCACGACGCGGATCCCCAGAGGTCTAGGCCACTTCCCCCAGGACCGACATCTCAGATCAGGCCGTTTTCCGGCGGTGCTCGGGCTCGGTGAGGGCCACCAAAAACAAAAAACACCCCCCCAAGGGAACAAAACAAATCGAATGTTCTGTCGCTCATGCGTGACCCTGTGTCGAGCGCCCGTCGGCTTGAGCCGACCCTGCAGCCCGCAGCCCAGCAGCTGAGGAGAGCGGGGAGGAGGGCGAGGAGGGCGAGCAGGTCGGCGAGGAGAAGGCCGAGGAGGAGGGCAAGCGAAGAGGGCGAGGAGGATCAGCGGCGGCGGCGGCGCTCGCCGGCAGCGCCTGGACGTCGACAACGACCTTCCGGGCAGCGCCACCACCTTTGGCCAGCGCGCGCGCCTCCTCCGTACCACCGCGGAGCCGCCCTTCCCTACACCCCATCGTCCTCCCCGCTCTCCCTCCCCCTCCTCCTTCTCCGACGTGTCTCCCTTCTCCTCCTCCTTTGCCATTAAGGGGCCGACAGCAGTTAGGCTGCAGCGCGCTGGTGGTAAGAAAAACCATTGAACCGCCTGAGTGCAAACTGAGCGGCGCAGGAGGTGCATCACCTCATCAAGCTAGTAAGGACGCCCCCGGGGTCATCATTAGCACCGCACCGTAATCCCACCAGCCCTCTGGGCGTCGGTGGTTTAGGGCGTTTCCTCTTCCACCCCTCCCTCTTCCCCTTCGGGGAGGGGTTTACCCCTCCCCCTACCCCCTCCCCACTGACCTGGACAGGAGGGGCGGGGAGCGGTCAGAGCATCCAAGACAGCCTCGGCGAGGAAGCCCAAATCATTGATTTTAGCAAAAGTTGTGGCCCCATTTTGGCCTCCTGGGGGGGCAACGCTAACTAACGCTCAGCTCTTCTTTGATCGATCTCCTCCAAGATGGCACAAAGACGCGCCCAGGAGGCCCCAAGAGGTCCCAAGATGGCCCCAAGATGGCCCCAAGAGGCCCCCAAGAGGCCCCCAGAATGCCCCCAAGAAGACCCTCAGAGGCCCCAAGAGGCTCCCCCCCCGAGGCACCCAAGACCCCGCAGAGCCCCCCAGGATCGCCAAGAGATCCCCAAGACGTCCCAAGAGGCCCCCAAGAATCGCCCCAGAGATACTCCAAGAGGCTCCTAGAGGCATCCAAGAGACCTCTGGCCCTTGTGCTTGCCCTCATCCTCCTCCTCCTCCTGTTCCTCCTTCCTGCTCCTACTCCTTCTCTTCCTCCTCCTCCTCCTCCCCCGCCTCCTCCTCATCCTATTCATCCTCCGTCTTCCCACTCCCTCATCCATCCATCCATCCACCTCCTCCTTCTCCTCCTCACTCATTTGCACGGTTCGGCCGTTCTCCTCTTTGCTGCCGCACTTCCCTGATCACCTCAACTCTCCTGGGTGTCGTTTCTGGATGGGCTGGTGGGGATACTTTTTGTTTTACAGCCGCAGGCGGAAGCGCCAGCGGCGGGCAGTCGCGGGCGGGCTGCGGCCGCGACTAGCGGCGGGCGCGCGCGGGGCCGCGGTCAGGCGGCAGGCAGCAGCGTCCTAAGGCGTCAGAGCCTACGTGCAGTCCAGGGAACCTGCGGGCCCCAGAACGGGCGTGCAAAGGGCATCTAGGGAGCCAGATGAGCACCGTGAAGCCGACATGCAATCCAGGGAGCTTGCTGAACAACCCCTGAGAACGTGCAAAGGTACATCCAGGCTGGTGGGGGTACGCGAAGCGTCAAGAATTAGATAATTATGGGGGGCGGTTTTCGCCGAACGACATAGTTAGCTCCACGCAAATGAACGAAAGGGAAATCCCGCGCCCTGGCTCGGGTGATATCCCAATTGGAATTGGAATGAGAATAAGAGAAATAATGAAATAGGAATAATAATAATAGTATTAAGAGTATTAATACTTAGAACAATTAAGTAGACAAGTACTTAAAAGGATAAGAGTAAGAGCGATGAACATTAAAAGAGTAGTAATAAGAGTAAGAATACTAATAATGATAATGAAAACAACTAATAATCATAATCCGAATAAGAATAATACGGATAGTAAAAATAATCCTGGTAACAATGAGGATGCGAATAATAATGCCCATACATCAGAATCAGAATAAGAGCAAGAGTTTGTTCTCATTACCTTCGCCATATTTGTCCGATACGATGTGGATTACCACCCCTGTTGAAACATTGTTTTTTTCCCGGCCGTCGTGTGGGGTCGCGCATCCGAAGATGTCGCCCCCTCCACGCACGGCGCTTTCGCTTAGCACAGCACCCGCACAAAATAATTGCGACAGCATGTCAAAACAGACACGAAGTACAATAAGACCAATAACCAGACTAATGATACATCTAAGCATGAGACCACGGATCAGACTGCCAATAGTAGTGCGAATAATAATATTAATGACAATAGTAATGAGAAAAACACTGAGAAACAAGTAAGGATCAGAGTAAGAATTGTAATACGAGTAGTCATAAGAGTAATTAAAATAAGAACTATAAGCATAACCATAATACTGATATGCACAACAATACCATTCAGAATAAGACTACGAATAACAACAATAAAATGCGAACAATAAAAAAACAATTATGTGAGCCACACGAAAATCAGACAAACAACAAGGATATAAGTTAGAGTACCAATACTAATAAGAGTAATAGTAAGCGAAATACAGCTAAAACCACGATACGAATCATAATCCGAATGATAATACTGATAAGAGTGAAAAAGAATCAGACTAATAATACGAATAAGAATAATAATGCGAATAATAAAACAGTTCGAGTAATAGTAAGGATAAGCATGCGAATCATAAACACAATCACACGAATAATAACACTAATAAGAAAAAGAGCTTGGCCTCCTTATCTTCATCATCCTTGCCCTGTACGATTTGTATTACCACCCCTGTTGAAACATTGGTTTTTCCCTGCCGTCGTGTGGGGTAGTACATCCGAGGATATCGCCCTCGCCACGCACGGCGCGTTATCTTAGCACCCGCACCGCCAACATTATTCGCTCCCCATCGTAGGCACGGATGGTTCCTTTTCAAAGCTGGGCTCTCCCTTGCGTGGGACTTAATGTTGTTAGTGTTGGTGTTGGCGTTGCTGGTGTTTTTGATGTTGATGTTGTTGTTGTTGGTGTTGTTACTGGCCTTGTTGTTCTAGGTATAAGTCTTATTGCTGGCATTATTGTCGTTGTTCGTGTTGGTGCCGTGCCGTAAGGGAGTCTTGAGGAGGAGAAGGAGGAGGAGGATTTGTTCTGTTTAGCTGGGCCAAGGCCTCTTGACTGAGGCCTTGGCCCTCGGCTTGATCCGTAATGGCGAATAAGAGCCAACATAATGCGATAATGTCTCAGGCGGTGTGCTTGTTTCGGCGGGTAGACTCGTCTGCGTTCACATCAAGGTGCGAGGTGCCAGGGTAACGTTTCTGGGGTGCCGGGTGCGTTATACTTTCGCCAGGGAGGGGGGGTGTTCTTAATGGCTTCTCCGGGTTAGAGAGGGGGAAAAGTGGAGAGCCCGCGAGGGCGCAGAGTATTGGAACTGAGGGCGTTTCGCCCTCCTTTTCCTCCTCATCTTCCTCCTCCTCCTCCTCTTCCTCCGACTTCTCCTTCTTTACCTCCTCCCCCTCCTCCTTCTCCTCCTCCTCCTCCAATCCTGCCTCGTCCTGCTTCCCTGACCGACCTCCCCTCCCGAACCCCTGCTCCTGCCTCCCTCCTCCCTCTCCCTGCGTTTCCTTTTTGCGCGTGCGCCACAGCGGAGCCGCCCACTGTCCAGGAGGGCCCAGGAAAGAACGTGTCGGGCCATTGAGGATCGAGGAGTCCTGAGAAGGGAGAAGAGGAGGATCGAAAATCGAGGAGGATCGAGGATCCAAGATGGGAGCAGGGAGGATCGAGGATCGAGGCCGAGAAGGCGGAGACACGTTCCCGGGGGCCCTCCCTCCTGCCCCTTTTGCCTATTCCTGGCGGGACCAACCCTCCCTTCTCCCTGCTCCTGCTTCCCTGCTCCTTCGACTCTCACGTTCCCTCTCCCCCTGTCCTGGCAGACCTGAATACACTTCGCCCTGCTCCTGCCTCCCTCCCCCCTCCCCCTCCTTCTCCTGTCTACGTTGCTCCGACATTGCTACGTTGCTCGAAGCAATCGCCGCGTCTGAACGCTCGTGCTGAGGGAGGAAAGGAAAAAAGCATTGTACACCCTCGTTTCCCGCATCCTCCCCCGTCCTGTCTCCTCTCCCGCCCTCCGATGTTCTGGCGGCTCTCGCTTCACCGCTTCGATAACACGCACTCGGAGGCCAAGACAACCCAAATTCAACCCAGCCGAGTTGTATTACCATCATCATCAGCAGCATACTCATCATCATCGTCATCATCATCAGCAGCATCCTCATCATCAGCATCATCATCACATTCATCATCAGCATCCTCATCAACATCATCACCACCACAATCCTCATCCGCAGCATCCTCATCGTCATCGTCATCGTAATCGTCATCGTCATCGTCATCAACATCATCATCATCATCATCATCATCATCATCATCATCATCATCATTAACAGTAACAGCAGCAGCAATATAATCCTCCTCCTCATCATCAGCAGCATCATCAGCGCCACCACCATCACCATAAAGTCCACATTTACCATATCCATCACCATCACAACCATCATCACCATCACAACCCTCGTCATCGTTATCACCAGCATCGACAGCTTCACCATCACCAGCATCAGCATAGGCAGCAGGTGCATCACCAGCATCACCATCATCATCACCATCAGCATCACCACCACCATCACCACCACCACCACCACCACCACCATCATCATCATCATCCTCATCCTCCTCCTCCTCCTCCTCCTCCTCCTCATCATCATCATCATCATCATCATCATCATCATCGTCAACAACATCACAATCATCATCATGCATCAGCAGCAGCATCTTGATCATAACCACCGTCATCATCAATGTCGTCGTCATCATCGTCATCACCAGCACAGTATCATCATCACCATAAGCATCATCATCAACACCACCAGCACCATTATCTTCAGCATTAGTACCATCATCATCATCATCATCATCACCATCAGCATCATTGCCGTCGTCATCATCATCATCACCAGCATCATCATCAGCATCATCATCAATATCGCCATCACCATCATCAACATCATCTTCAGCATTAACATCAACATCATCGCCATCATCATCAATGTCAATATCCCCATCCTCATCCTCATTCTCATCATCATCCGTATCCTCGTCCTCATCAACATGATCGTTGTCGTCATCAGTTTCATCAGCAGCACAATCACCATCACATACCATCGTCAGCACCATCTTCACCGATCATCAACAGCGTC